AGTGTCATTCGCGCACCAGGAACTTGAACCCCTATGCTCACTCTTATATTGCGTCTGAGAAGCCATCGCTGGTGGCATGGGCATCCAATGGAGTATGCTTTCGCATCCCGGGCATTGTCCTTGACGGCGACCGAAGTCTGACTGGAGCTCTTGCTCTTGTCGCGTATGGCGCGGCCTTTGCCCTTTGATATTTGGCCTTTGGATAGGCGGCCGCCTGCACTTGAGCCTGCTGCCAAGCTGTTTTTCCTGTGTGGAGTGGTCTGCTGGCCGACATGGGCTCGATAATTCTGAGCATCGCTATCTAAATCAATAATTTTGACAATGGTCTCGACATCGGTTAGACTCTGACGATAAGCTGCATAATCGCGAGCCCTTAACTCCATCAGTATCAATGAGATTACCACAAGGGCTGTGCTCACCTATCCAAACGCATCTGTTCGACTTTGCTAGACCAACTAGAAAGATAATGTGCGACGTAAGCCGGATATTCATCGCCCAAATCATTGTATAGAGCCGTGAGAACCATACGGGCGATGTGAAGCTCCGACATCGCTTCGGTCGAGGAAAGAGCATAGGGCTGTGTTGGAGGCGAGCCCTGGTGGGCAGCGCACTTGGCCTTGTTCGATGAATGAAGGTGTTCCGGTTCATCAAAGTGGCTTCCGACTGCAACGATCTCAACGTCATCCACTTCCTTGTGGTCGCTTATGGATGCAGAGTGGGACTCGGGATGTTGTTTGCGAATATGCTTCAGTCGGGCGTCCGTACGCTTATAAGACTTGTTGCATCCAGAGACAAAGCAAGGGTATTGTAGTTCAACAGCTCCATGGCTATGTTTAATGTGACGTGCTAAGTTACCATGCTGGAACCGGCCCCGGAATGGTTTTGTGCACTGCACACAAGTGATAACGTCCGGGGTTTCCCACTATGGACGTGTCAGTCTATAGCATACTAGAAGATAGGAGACATAAGTACCTGATGCTTGTCACGATCAAATGGAGCCCAGGGTCCTGATTTTGAGGACCCATATGTGCTGCTTTCTTCACTTGCAGTGCTGCTAGTGCCCAAAAGCTGGGGGAGAGCTGCGAGTAAAAGGCTGGTGGCACTATCAAATCGTCGGTCGTTGTGTATATCGTGGTTCTCTGGCCATGACATGATGCTCTGGAGAGTCAAAGGATATAATCAAAGCAAAGATGTAGCCTGCAACGGCCATACGTGGCTTTACGAAGGCTGGTGTTGTATGCTGTAGGGGTCGAGGGTGGGCGAGACTTCTCAGCAGGAGTTGTGTTGCTTTATTATAGCAGATGATTCAAATGAGTCGGAGGGGGTGGTGACCCATCCATCTTGTACTTGGGCAAATTGTGTGTAATTGCACGCGGACACTGCAGTCATACTAACACATGCGCACTAGAGCCTTTCGTACATTTTGCGCAAATGGATGAAGGTTAAGCTAGATTGGGGAGGCCGCACAGTACAGTGGCATATTAGGTGCGTGAACCATTGGCATTTGGGCGGAATTCCAAGGTCAAGGGACGATTTACAGGGCGGACGCTGGGAATTGAGACCGAACGTTGGGCAGCGGTAACCAGGCCATCCCTACTAGCAATGCTGGGATGTGTCCGTTGCCCACTACTTTCGCACGCCAATCTCAAACGACTGCATACGATTGCGATAATGTAACAAGCTGGGCGGCTTGGATGTCGTCTGTGTACGTCTTGTGAAAAAACAAGTCAATGAACTGGCGTGCGTGAGCAT